TTAAATGATCTAGCTTATTGATGTAAGCAATTTGTTCCCTTAATTTTTTCTGTCACTTTTTTCCATCCCTCCTTGACTTCCTTGTTTCTGGGAAATTATTTTGAAGGGCACTGTGATCTAGAGAGACTATTGGGATTTTAGAGTCAAAGAGTCCTGAGTTGGAATCCTAACTTACTAGCTGGATGAGTTGTAACTGCTGAGTCTCAGGTTTTTCCATTTGCATTGGTGGAGCTAATACTACATACTCAGAAAGTATGCTAAGGATTAAATCATGCCTAGTTTGATTTAAAGCACATCATGGATGTCCAGAGAATTTATCCTGTTTTTCTTAATCCATCTACCCTGGCTTGCACTAATAGATATGAAGAAAGTCCACATCACCCTTATACCTGGGCTCTTGGTAAGATGACAAAAAAATCATCCACAGTATACGATGACTTTTTTAGGGGAAGTATCCACATAGAAAATTGTAGCACTGCTCTGGTACTGTTAATACATAGGCACTCCATTTAGGTGAAAGCCACTTCTCTTTCCTACTAGTCACTCACCTGACCTTGCCACTCCCAGCATGTACATATGCCCATTTTTATAGTCTAGACTTTGAATATGGAAGAAACACCTTTCCTATGGAGGGGCACGATGGACAAGAAATTACTCGACACTAAAGCTAAGTAAACTTTGAGTCTAAATAATAGCTGGCTTTCCGTTGACAGGAAATATACCTAAACGTGACCTTAGAGGCATCCCAGTGAGTATCTTTACTGTTGTTGCACATTTGTATTACACTAAACCTGCTACTTGAATTTCATTTTCTGCTTTCAAGTCGTGATCTATGATGGCAAGTTTCAAGCTATGTATTTCTTATTTTTTATCCTCTCTCAGGCTATCTAAATCCTTCTATTTTTATTTTCCCATGAATATGAACAGACTTCTGACAATCAGAATAATTAAACTTATACCGAATACCTTGTACCTGTTAAGAACTCTATGCCCAGTAGTATTTTGCAAGTAGTTATTAGGCATTGGTTTATTTTAAAATATTTGTAAGATTTTATTCTAATTTATCCTTCATTTTGCCCAGTTGTACAGTTTAACAGGGTGAATTACAAATGCTTTGTGCATGAGTTTATTTTTCATTTTTAAAATTTTAATTAATTAATTTTTTTGAGGCGGAGTTTCACTCTTGTTGCCCAGGCTGGAGTGCAAATGGCTCAATCTCAGCCCATTGCAACCTCTGCCTCCTGGGTTCAAGCAGTTTTCCAGTCTCAGCCTCCTAAGTAGCTGGGATTACAGGCATCTGCCACCATGCCCAGCTAATTTTGTATTTTTAGTAGAGACGGGATTTCACCACGTTGTCCATGCTGACCTCGAACTCCTGACCAGAGTCCTGGGATTACAGGCATGAGCCACCTTGCCTAGCTGCTTATGTGTTTTAATACTTCCACGTGTATATAGTTAAATCTCATGTGAGCCTTATGTGAAAATGAGAGACTTATTCCTAATCATAATACAGATTTTACAGTTTGAGTTACTTTCAAATTTCTTGGAGAAAGCAAAAGTGACACCATCACCTTTCACCAGTAATAGCTACCATATATTGCATTTCTACTATGTCCCAAGCACAGCGAGTACACATTTAAGATGTAATCTTCACAATAACCTCACATGCTCAGTATCAGAGAGATCAACTTAGTGCCTGAGCCTTAGAACCTGATATAGTTGTTTAGTAAAGAAATACGAAGACAGTAGATACTTTGCATGTTATGTAATTATAAGCCATGTAACAAATATAGATGATATGAATCAGTTGATTGTTGAGGGAAAGGCAGGCTCACTGATTGCTGTTAATGAAGGCAGAGCCTCCTTATCCCAGGACTTGTTCATTTTCATTGTTATCTGAAACTGGAGATTCAGGTGTTTCCAGAGCCCAGCTTTTCACTGCAGTGGAGTCTTCGCCCTACTTCACTAAAGAAATTCTGGTTGCAAGGTTTAGTTAGCTATCACTTTGTGAGCCTAGAAGAGCTAATTGAAAGTCATTGTTGTGTTCTCTGCTTCTTTGTTGTCGATGTGGTATTGATCTACTTGGATTTGAAAGAATTTCTTATAAAACCTGTCACATGAGGCCAACCAATTATTACTTACTTCCATCTTTCTGTGGTCTGTATTACAATTTTTTATTTTTTTTAAAGGATGTTTCACAATGTTGCCCAGGCTGGATATGAAACAGTTTTTATATACTGTGCCCTGTTGTCATTTGTGTGCTATCCAGGAAAAACACACTACTTTAAGAATCTGCCTTCATCTGTAGACTTTACTGTTGATAGCACTTCCTAACTGGCCTCCCATCTACAGTTTCTGTCTTTTTCTATCATTTCCATGCTGCATTCTAAATTTTTTTTTTTTAAGCTCCAGATATGAATGCATCATTTTTCTACCAAATTCCTGATAATTCTCCATTGTCTACAGTGTCAGCCTCCCTTTTTCGCTGGTCTCTGTAATAATTCCACACCACAGGCCGGGCGCAGTGGCTCACACCTATAATCCCAGCACTTTGGGAGGCCGATGCTGGTGGATCACAAGGTCAAGAGAACGAGACCATCCTGGTCAACATGGTGAAACCCCATCTCTACTAAAAATACAAAAAAATTAGCTGGACATGGTGGCGCGTGCCTGTAGTCCCAGCTACTCGGGAGGTTGAGGCAGGAGAATTGCTTGAATCCAGGAGGCAGAGGTTGCGCTGAGCCGAGATTGCACCATTGCACTCCAGCCTGGGTAACGAGCGAAACTCTGTCTCAAAAAAAAAAAAAAAAAAAAATTCCACACGACATTGCCTGCCATTGCTCAAATATGCCATTCTTCCTCATACCTGTCAGTTTTGTAAGAGCTGTCCTCTCTGCTTAGAACTCTCTCCTCATCCACCTCTCTTTCTTGGCTAAATTTCGATTCTTCCTTCAAGACTTACTTTAAATAATTCCTCTTCTGTAATGTTTTCATTGGTTCTCACAGGCAGAGAGAAATGCTTCTTCCCTGGGACACTCGTAGCATTTACTTTACCATAGATACTTCTGTCTGTTTCCTTCATAAGTTCGTCAAGGAAAGGGACTGTTTATTCTCCTCTTCCTCTTTGTTTTTGTTAATTCTCAGCAGTCAGTTCATTGCCTAGTTCATAGCAGTTACTTAATAAGAATTGATGGAGGGGTTGGACCTGATTAGTAAAATCACCAGAGGAATATCTTCTGTAGCACTTTTTTTTTTTTTTTTTAAACTTCATGTACTCAGTTTTATAGCTCTTTTGGTAGCTAATCAGGTTCTTTCCCCTAAACATTATGTGGGGGTGAGAGGCAACCTTGCAAGGTTAATAAGCTGAATGGTTGAAGTACTAGCCTTTAAGACTCAAGTTTCTATGCCAAGAGCAAGTTTAGAGTTCCGTTCACAGTGCTTATTAATACAATGTCTTGTGTATAGCAACCACTTAGTGTTAGCTACTGCTGTTAGCATTATGCTTGGCTCCACCAGCCAAGAAAGTTGTTTTTAAAAGCTTTATGTCTGTACTTTGTAGTATAAAAACAGTAGGATTTTTTTTCAGATTTAAATTAAAAAATTATATTGTGCTAGTGAAGATAGTTTTTCAAACTACATATAGCCACAACTCGCTGTTACTTGGAGCCTCTTATTCTGGAGGGACATCTCCTAATTGATAACCATTGCCTGATAGTACTTTTCTAAAGATGTTTGACCTTCCTTCTCACTGTGTGATCTTTCTGTCTCTAGGACCGCCTATGGCTGCGGTAGCAGTGAGAGAAGGTCTCAGGTGAGAGTCTTATCCCCTGATGTTACCTTTTTTTTCTGGGTGCATTTTAGTTCAATGTTCACCCTGCCCCACTTCCTGACATCACTTGAAGATTTTGTTTTACTTTTTACATTGCGATATCCTAGAAGAAAAAGGCTCTTATCTTCCTTTTTTATGTATGAGAATAGGATATGGTTTGTGACTTATTTTCAAAAGTAATAGAAAATATTTTTTGAAACTACTTCTCACTTACCTCCTCTGACTGGATTTAAATCTTTATTGAAAGCGCTTGCTTTAACATAGTTTGTCTTTCAATTTCCCTCTTACTCTTAGTCTCATTTTTTGTCTCTGCTTGTTTTTCCAGAAGGTGCACATTCCTCCTTGTTCATTTTTAGCAGCTTCCAAAGCTGCTGTTGATGATGCCTGACGATGCTTTGAAGGCAGAAAACCAACAGTGAGATCAAGAATTGTAAGAATTCAAGTGTATAAAGAAAGGTTGCTGCTCAATTCAAGTGTATAAAGAGAGGCATTTAAGATGATCCAGGAAGTTGGTGTGGGAGAAAAAGGTGGGGGGCACTCGTCCTATCACATAGCAAGATTTATGCAAACACTGCATTTAAAAAAAAAAAAAAAAAGACAAAGAGAACAATAGTGGAGTAGAATAGAGAACCTATAGTTATATCCACATACATAGGAGAAAGAGGGATATGGCAGAGATTGCATTGCAGATCAATGGCGAAAAGGATAGATTTTCCCCATGTAGATAATCCGTTTTCCAGAACTGTTTCTCGAACAGAAAATGGAAAATGGATTATCTACATGGGAAAAAAACGAGTTGGATTCTTACTTCTCATCAGATTCAAGAATCAATTTGCAGATGGATTGAGGACTTAAATATGAGGGGGCAAAACTCTTAAACATTTCTAAGAAAATATGTACAATTTTATTTGCAATCCTGGGATAGGACACAATTTTTGTAAATTGAAGTACAGACTATAAAAGAAAATGTGGATGAATTTAACCTTACTAAATTTAAGGACTTCTGTTCATCAACAAACACCTTAAAGAAAGTAAACAGATGAGCCGGGTTTGATGGCTGACGCCTGTAATCCCAGCACTTTGGGAGGCGAAGGCGGGCAGAGGCAGGAGAATCGCTTGAACCCGGGAGTCGGAGGTTGCAGTGAGCTGAGGTAGCATGACTGCACTCCAGCCTAGGCAACAAGAGCGAATCAGCATCTCAAAAACAAACAAACAGAAATAAACAGATGAACCACAGAGTGGAAGAAGTTATTTATAACTTATCAACAAAGGATTAATAACCAGAATACTTACCTTTCCTACACTTAAAAAGATTTACTGCTTTTCTTTGTGACTTAATGTCTATAGTCACTCATTGTTAGATTTATCTTAGGATCCCAAGCTCTACCTGAAGTTGATTGATCTGCAAATTTAGTGTTAAAGTGAATTATTAGGAAGTTTTCTGTACTAGGCCTCCATTAAATCAGTTTGTCATCTATAAAATCCACTTGGACTCAAAATTTGATGGATCAAGCCACTTCTTTTAGGGAACCCAATAGAAAAGATATGGCTTTCTAGTACCTTGTTGTTTTTATACTATTCAATAATATTTTCCTAACAATATTTCTCTAATAATTCAAATTCACATATTTCTTGCATTGAACTTGGTTTATAACAAAGGAGAAATTCTGTTAACATCTAAAAGTGATAAAAATATTAGTTGCAGCCACATGTTTAGATTTTAGTTTTTAGTGTATAGTACTTACTAGCTATCTGTTTCTCAGAAAATTCCTATTTTCTGTTTTGAGAAAGAATGGAACTCTAGACTTTCACATGCAATAATTGTGTTTTTAACAAATCAGTTGACTTTTCTGGTGCATTTAAAGATGCTTTTTCCTTTCATCTCCATTAGTTGTAATCAACTTGTAGCAAGAGAAAAAGACCAACGTTTTTCTTTGTGTTTTGTTCTTGTGGAAACAAAAGTTAAGTTTTTACCACCTGTTAAAAGAGTAAACATTACCTCCTCAGTTTCAGACCTAATCATATTTTGTGAAAATGAATCACTGACACTGATGGCCTGGTACCATTGTAGCAGTTGGTGCAATACCTACTGTCACAGGATTTTGACTCCTTGAAGGCAGGAGCCAGGTCTTTTATATTTGTCAGTAACAGGTTCATCCTCCTGTTTTTGTTAGCATTTTGGCAATAAAATATGTGAATTAGAATTATCATAATAGAGGTGGTTATCTAATAATAAATGAATGATATAGAAAGTTACTAGAGAGTTTAAAAGCTTCATAGAGATCAGTGATTATAATACTTTAGATAGGAATTGCAGAAAAGTATTTTGTAAAATTGCATTGCGAGATAATCCGCTTTGTGATTGAGGGAGGGCAGGCAAATGAACTGTGTTCATGTGTATTGCACACTCAGTACGATATAGTTTTTATATATAAGTCCTGAAAATAGATTTGAGCTTTGTTCTGTGGACCATGGGACCTGTACAGTCAATAGTGAATTGTTCAGGAATTGGGTCCAGATTATCCTGAATTCTTTGTGGTAGAGCCTTTGAAAGGGCTTAGAAAATATTCAGGAGAGCTGTTTCATGACCAGAAGAGACCAGGAGTCTGCTTCTGCAACAGTGCTGGTACTCAAATAACCCTGACCCAGGAGACTAGCACACTCTTTGATCTTTAGATGATCTTTCTCCATTTTTACAAATAATGACATTAAATCTATTTTTGCTAATAGTAGAAAGCTGAATTATCTGGTTTTGTAATTTAATGAGAACTTAATATATATATGGGTGCCATATTTTGTTAGCACACTTTAGTAATGCAGTCTCCTTGCTTCTTGCTTTGTTAGTGATAGTATTTGCTTTTCAACCTATGAATGAGGTTTGTTAGCACCAAACAGGGTGTTGCTTCTTCTCACTTTGCCACTAGTAAAAGAGGTGTGGTTGATGATAGCAATCTAGGCTTTATCCAAAGTTGATCTCACAGCTTTCTCAGATAGCTACCTTCTTTTTCAGCGTACTGTGACAAGGGAGCTATCCAAAGAGGTGTGATTCCCACCTCCCTGAGAGGTAAACCAAGCTGTTACAACCCAGGAGACCTGATAATTAAATTTCCAAATTCATCTTTGTTTATATTTGCCAGTGGAAGTTTCTAAATTGAAATGTTTCTACAAATTAGTTTTGGTACCTGTAACTGAAGGAGCTGGTGCAGCATATACAGATATGTCTAGCCTGCTAGGTCTGCCTGCTGTATATAGAGGGCAAAGTCTATACAAGACAGTACCAAAGATGAATTTTGATTTCTAATATTTTTCAAGTAGCCTGGTTTTTCCCCACCTGATAGAAGTTGCTACATCTTTCCAAACAGGTTCTCTAATGATCTTGCTTCACCATGGCTACAAATATGGAGGGGCTGGTTCAGCACAGAGTGGGGACCCAGCAGGTGGCTGAGGTGAGTGATAGGGGCTAGCTAGCACAGTAGCTGGCACCCTCACTTTTGAAAGGAAGAAAAAAAATTAGTGTGCTTAATTTTTTCAGAACAATCCCAAGGAGGTCAGCATGTGATATGTCCTAGTGTGCTGTTACAGAAGAAAAAAATGACAAGAACATTTATTTGTAACTTTTTTTTTTTTTGCATGAGTAGGGTGGCCTATCTGGGTTTAATTAAGGTGACGTGAATGTTTACCTTGAACCAAAAACTGGTAAAATCTGATTCTTACTGAACCTTGTGGGTATAGTTTTAACTCCAAGGCTGTCTTAATTTCTCATACACTTGATTCTTTGTTAATACTGTGGAATAGTAGAAAGTCTGATTATGTGCATTCAGCAGTCATTGACAGTTTACCATGGACCAGGGATCTTACTAAGTGCTGAGATGTATGGAGGTGAATGAGTCATGGATTGTTCCCTTTAGCGATATTGAGGCCTGATAACGGAGTTATTATAAAACAGGTTGAGAAGTATAATTTCACGTGAGGCATTTGATTCTGGGGGTGGTTCTTTAATTATGAGTAAGCATTTGTTAAGAGAGACCCAAGTAAGTGGGGTGGGGATCTTTGTGGCAGATTCTGGGGAGAGCATCCTAAGTCAGAAACCTATGTGAAAGGACATAGGCATTAAGTAGCTTTGCATCTTCAGGCAACTTGACATGAAACGCACATTAAAGCTATCATCACTAATAGCGTACTTTGAGCATTCACTCTGTACCTGGCCCTATGCAAGGGCTTTAATCCTCATAGTAACTTTCTGAAGTTGGTACTGTCAATATTCCCATTTTGTAGGTAAGGAAACCAAGTAGCAAAAAATAAGTAATTAGCCAAAGGCACAATGTAGCAGGACAAGATGCTGACCCAGGTCTGTTCACTTCCAAATCTCCTCCAATTAACCATGGGTCCTACTGCAACCAGGGGCCAAAAGGTTGAGATTCACATTTTTTCAATAATGCTCATATTTCTAGGGCAAAGACACAAATTTGCATTCAAAGAGAGGTTTTTTAAAAACAAAAACTAAGTATACATATGCCAGTTTAAACCAATAAAAATGATGAGCAGATTTTTCAGATTTTTAGATCAACCATTAACTTAAAGGCAACAATATAACTAGTTACCTGCCTCCCCTTCCCACACAGCAAATAATGGTTAATAGTAACTGAAAATGAAAGAAGATAGATTTCACAAATATTTTAATATTGTATTTTTGAATGGACTATCAGAGTTGTAGAAGTATTGGGATTATATGTTTGTACAACAAGTCGTCATTTAACGTCATCGGTGGGTTCTTGGAAACCAACTTTTCGTTATATGTGGTTTTAACATAGGCTAATTGATATAAACAAGCATTAAGTTCCTATGGCATATTTCTAGTAAAAAAAAAATCACCACATTTCTAAATAAAGATACAGAACACCTGCAGTATTAAATATTGAAATAAATGTGAGGCCTACGTATATTTAAGATTAAAGACTATAAAAACAAGAAAATTATTTGTGTAATTTTTGGTGAATCAGTGAGTGACAGCAGTCGTAGTGTGGTGGGCTATATTAAGGAATAATTGTTTGCAAAGCAAAAGTTGTCAGGAGTTCCTCCTACCTGTATGCAGTCAATCACAAGCATGGCAGGCTCACTGAATGATTTCTTAATGCATAGTTTATTGTCGTGCATTTGTATGATTACTGTGGACTCTATGATAATTTTTATTTTACAATAATTTGTATTCATTCATTCATTTCCCAACCCACTTATTCCAGTTCAGGTTGATAGGTGGCTGGATCCTGTCCTGGCAGCTCAGGCCACAAGGCAGAAACACTCCTGGCCAGGACACCATCCCATCATAGGGTGTACTCACACACATACCCCCACTTACTCAGACTGGGATAATTTAGACACACCAAGTCACCCCACATACACATCCTTGGCATGTGGTGGGCGAAGCTGGAGTACCTGCAGAGAACCCATGCAGACATGGGGAGAACATACAAACTCCCCACAGACAGCGTCCCTGGCCTGGAATCACTTTTTTCCCTCATCAACAAACATTATAACAAAACAACATTATTTGAGGACTCCCGTATTTATTTGTTGCTTTATTTTGTAATAGGAATAATTACCTTGAAAATAATTGTTAATTTTTCAGATATGTGTGTTTCCACTTGAGGCTGATCTGGAGACTACTATATGGATTGCTACCCTTAGAGGCCATCATTAATTCTTTATCTTTCTATAGCACAAGTCATCAAGCAACATCACTAATTCTTTAGGAAAGAGGTTAATACAGGCTAATATAAGTTCTTTGTATGCATTCAAAAAGTTTGCTAGCTAAAATTTTCTGCCAAATAGCTTATTTCCTTCAGGCAGTGGAATTTTGTGTATTAACTTATTTCAACTGTTGTTTTCCATGGCAAAAAAAAAAAAAAAAAAAGCATTTTTAGAGATTCAGAATAATGAAAGGCAGTTTCAATTTTGAATGCAAAAATAATTTTTCTATTTAAAATATTTTCTAGATTTCCTTGCTGTTTTTTTGCTTGTTTGTTTTTGAGAAGGAGTGTCGTTCTTCTTGCCCAGGTTGGAGTGCAATGGCATGATCTCAGCTCACTGCAACCTCTGTCTCCCAGGTTCAAGCGATTCTATGTGTCAGCCTCCTTAGTAGCTGGGATTACAGGCATGCACCATCATGCCTGGCTAATTTTTTGTATTTTTACTAGAGACAGGATTTCACCTTGTTGACCAGGCAGGTCTTGAACTCCTGACCTCAGGTGACCAAAGTGCTGGGATTACAGGCATGAGCCACCACACCTGCCCCCTTGCTGTTATTTTAAGGAATAAGCATGTATTTGTGTCCTTTGAATTTTTGGGCTTAGTAATTTTAAACTGCATATAATAACTATATGATATTTGATTAGCTAAATGAGTAAGAGGGCCTACAGTTCATCATTTTAATGCTAAGCAGTAATGGGGTGGGGACAAAGTATCCAAACTTAGAGATAATAAACAGTTTTGGTAATTGTTTACTCAGTCAACAATTGAGTACATAATTAAGGAGCATACCTGTTCACTTCCCATAGTCCAGGGAGGTTATGCTCATGGGTAATAGGACGGGGCTTTTGCTCTCCCAGAGCTCTCTAAGCGCATAAGCCTGAGATGGGCTACAGTAGAGGGATGAATAGGAAAGACAGAATCTTGGTAGAAAGAGACTCTATCAAGTGAGATTGTGAGCCATGAGATCAGACAGATTGGAGTTTAAATCCTTGTCTCTATTAAACAATCAAAAAATTTAGCTGGATGTGATGTTGCCTGCCTGTGGTCTCAGCTACTGTGGAGGCTGAGGTTGGAGGATCACTTAATCCCAGGAGTTCAAGGCTATAGTCAATGAACTATGATCATACCATTACACTCCAGCCTGGATGACAGAGTGAAACCCTATCTCTAAAACAAGTTTTTCTAGAAACAAACTTTAGTAAGTGTCATGCTTTTTTGCTTCATGAAATAACAGCAACATGTGGATTATGTAAATGATATTTTTTATAGTAGAGTCCTCCTTCAGCCTTTTTCTCCGTAGACTACCTAAGTGGCAAATACCTAGATAAACTGCAAGAGTTGGGTGATACAAAATAACAATTTGATGTCCTATAATGTACTCAAATTTAGTTATTCAGAGAGACAGTTGAATATAGCGGTCAATAGTGCAGACTTTGGAGCCTGATAGCCTAGATTTAAATCCTGGCCCTGCCACTTGTAAGCGTAACTTCTCTGTTTTTTGGAATTGTTTATGAAGAATTGGTATTAACTTTTCTATTAAAATCTGGTACAAGTAGCAGAGAAGCCATCTGGGCCTGGCCTTTTCAGGTAATTTTTGGATTACTAATTCAGTCTTTACTTGTTACCGGTCTGTTCATATTGTCCATTTATTCTTGAGTCAGTTTCAGTAATTTGTCTTTTTGGGACTTTGTCTATTTCATTTAAGTTATCTAATTTGTTGGTGTACAGTTCTTCTGGCATTCCTTTATAATCCTTTTCTTTAAGTCAATGGTAATTTATCCTCTTTCATTTGTGATTCTAGTAATTTGAGTCTGCCCTCTTTTTCTTGGTCAATCAGCTAAAAGTTTGTCAAGTTACTGATTTTTTTTTTTTTCCCAACAAACCAGCTTTTTGGTTTAATTGATTTTCTCTATTGTTTTTCTGTTTTCTGTTTCATTAATTTTCATTCAAAACCACAGTGATAGACTATGCCATATCCACTAGAATGGGTAGAATATAAAAATCAGATAGTAAACATTGGCAAGGAAGTGGAAAAATTGGAAACCTCATACATTGCTGGTGGGAATGTCAGCCAAATGTCCATTAACAATGAAATGACTGAAACTTGATTTTAAAAACAATATGGTTTTTTTTTTTTAAAAAAAATAGGCTGCAAATGGGAGAGATGAGATGGCAGATGATAATTGGTAACCAAAGCAGTGAGAGCTTGAATCATATGTAACACTGGAATTAATTTTGCTTTTCATATATTAAAGGAATGAAATTTTCTAAAGGGGCTTGAAAATTTTTCAAGCATTTAAGAGTTTTCTCTGTAATTGGAAATTTAAAACAGACATATAGATACACATACTGTGTGTTTCTTCATTGTCTAAATAAAGATACTTTTTAAACTTCATAAGATATTTTGAGTCAGGAGAAATTTAGGAGTTAACTTGCTGAGGTATTTTGAGTGCTTACTGATTGGCAGAAAGAGATCACTCATACACCTAAACTGTAAGTTGCATGCATGTTTATGCAATAGAAGTGAGGTGGCTTTACAAATCTTTTTCCTCATCCCTGGGCTATCTAAGGGGCTCTCAGCCATCAAATAAGGTCCTGCCACAGCTGAGAAAATAGCCAAATTCTTATGACCCTATTATTATTTTTATCATCAGGATTTACATCATCATTGCACAAAACTTACACTAACATTTCCATG